CGTATGTGGCCTATACAATGAATTGCGGTGGTCAGCCGATGTACAAGTCGGTGATTTTATTCTCCCAGACGAGTCCGGTACCAATTAAGCGACCCCGGAGGGATGAAAGGCTTGGATGGCGTAGACATCGGGATTCAAACCTGTGACCATACACACTACCTCCGTCCAGTATCATGAGCGACAAAATCCGGACCAAACCAGGTGGAGGAATTTTCAGTGTATCTGAGCCTGGTTTATATATGTTTATACCTATTATAGGGCGGAGGTGGTGTACTGGCAAGCGGCGCACTACATCACACGCACGGTCAGGATTTCAAATCCCGGATCAATGCTCGCCTAGGGCAACCAAGCCTTCAATCACTCCGGGGTCGGCAAATTGGTACCAGACTCGTCTGGGAGGATAAAAGCACTGACTTGTACATCGGCTGGCCACCGCAAGTCATTGTATAGGCCACATACGCACTCATCGCGCCACTACGATTCTGAATTGTAGTCGAGTGCGGGGGCGCATCCCTCAGACGGGATTGATTAACGCCAAAAACTTTATCCTTTATCCTTTATCCTTTATAACTACTATATAGTAATGTGGCTTAGTTTATCTCTGCTCAATTTTAGGCAGCTGTCGTATACATATATATTTTTTTGATGCCACAGTCATTTTCATTAGTAATCGTTACCGATACGTTGCATAGAATTAGCTAAGGTTGTTAAAATTTCATTACAAAATATCTGCGGAATTCAGGTTGCTGATCTCCTGGCCACTACTTTGAATAATGCCGTACAAAATGCCAATGCTGTACAGCGAACTACTATTCAATTGCTCTTTGACTGCCGAGTGCTTCACACTCTGTTTCCTGATGAAAAGTACGTGTTTTCTGAGATGCTCTAATGACAAGCACGACATTTTTTTCTTTTTTGACAAAACTAAGAGAGTTGGTCTAAAATCTTTTTCAGTGGTAAACTTGAAGCGTGTAATTGCAGTTAAAGGTTGTGCGTTATGGGAGAGAAGCAAGGGCAAGTTCGAAGATTCGGTGGGAATTCGATGAAGTGGGAAAACGAAGTCTGAGGGCATTACGGGGTTAGGTAGAAAAGGTAAAGGGAATATTTGTTCCAAGCTACCAAAATTCCCCTATATATTTAAGGAGGCAAGGAAGTGAAAACTTCCGTGGCCTGATATCAATCCATGCTTTGACTGGATGAATCAGGGGTGGGGAGAAGGGGAATAACGACAATGAATCGTAAGGTTTTGCCCCTTCTGGAAATTCGCGATCAGATGTATTGCCTCATTCTGAGGATCAGCCATGAGCCCTCGAAGGAGCAAATATAAGGATGCTCATTTCACAGTCGCTATACCAGTTGCTATACCGGGTCGATCAGGCAGGTCATTTTTATAGGCCGAGTAAGCTTTGAATAAGAAACATATACATGCCTCTCTCTGCAGCGCTTTGAAATGGATGCACCAATTTCATCGCCTACCAATGTCACTGGCAGAATGCCCGGTTAGGACTAAAGGGTCGAGGATGTAGAAGGGTGCAGAAGTTTGGGCTAAGTAGACCATCAGCATTGTAGAAACGCTTCTTTAAACTCATATTCAGAATCCCGGAAAGAATTTCTGAAAGTCATGAGATCCAGGTTTTCGGTGCTTTGAAAAACTTGAACGATTGTGCCTTCTGGCATGAACTGGTCGAGCGGAAGAGAACGGTTAATCATTATTGTCTCAGAACTAGTTTCGATTTGTTGCTGTTTTTCTCCCCAGTGCGCAGGGGAAAGCGCAAGTACGGGTCCCGTCCGAGACCGAGCGTTTTGCCCAGAAGTTGCCATCTTTAGGAAACCTACTGTTTTTTCTCCTTTATTTAAAATAACCCTTTCAAAAGCTTTCGTTTTAAAATGGTCATTTCAAATAAAGAAGCAGCAGGAAGCCCCTGCTTTTCCCATGTGAAAGCACTCATGGCTTTCAAGCTTTTGAAGGGTACCACCCAAGTAATTGCGTTTCAGCTTGGTGCATTTGAACGTCCATTCCAGTCCTTTCAGTCCTTGCATCCTAACATATTACAGCTGCTACTTGGCCTTATCTTTCAAAGTGCATGTTACAAACAACTGGTCCCGTGACGTTGTTCTTATTGGTTGGCCGGCCTTGGCTTAACTTCGGTTCAACAAGCTGCTGCTTACTTATGACGTGTTTCTTGTTGCTGTTTACTTTCTCCCTGGCTCAAGGTACCAAAGCAATTGGTTTCCAGGCTGAGGAATCTTGTTCCAGTCATAGAAAGTCGTATCGACCCATTTGATTTGAGTCTTCTATCGTCTCATCTCTCTACGAATGTACGATTAGCCGTGAGTAGGTCTCAGGTGGGTGCTTATACTCTTGGTTTATTTTTCTTCCTTAAACGGGTCTTATTTGGCTTCAAATTTAATGGTCAACTTGATGAACGGCACTAACTGAAGTATCCTTTCAAAGCATCCTTCAGTATTTTAATGGGAGTTGTAGCTCGCGGTCATCTTCAATTTAGAGGTGGAGTGGTCAAGATGATTGTTTGTTAGTATGAATTCCTGTGGGAGCAATAATTAAATGTTAAGAAAGGGATTAAACCAGTTTACTAACTAATGAAGATGGGTTGCCCTTGGTTGGCCTGGGAGGATATTGATCAGAATACCATTCCCAGACCTCAGAGGGAGTGATAGTGATTCTGTACCAGTTGCCACTACACCACCTCCGCCCGACTATAGCAAATACCGCTTCGTCTACGTCAGAAAACTTATTCCTTTCTGTTTGTTGAATGCTTGCTTTCCTCAAGTGGATTGAACTTTCCACTAATTTCTGCTTATTCAGCAGTTCGTTATGAAGAATCGTGGCATGCATTGCATCCATTTTGACAATGAATGAATATTACAATATTTTCTTTGTAAGCTTGTTCAGAGTAAAACTTACTTTATAATCCTGCTGCGATAGTCTTTTGCTTTACAACATGATTTCCAAAACTGCACCTCTTTTCACTGGCGAATAGTATCTTGATATGTCCTTTCCATTTTCACAAGTGGTTCACTTACATCAGCGCGATATAATCGAGATTTTGAAAGAAATTTCGCCCAAGAAGTGCTGATTGATCCTCACATTCCATTTGGCTCTCAATATAAAATAATATTTTATCTTTGTATCGAAATGATTATTTTTCAGCTGCTTTACTCTTGTTTACTTGTTGATATTGTGCCAACTAAAGAAGGACAAGGTTCTGCTCACTATTCGCAGGTTTGTACTTTCTTTTTTTGAGGACGGCTTGCTCTTATCCGAGTGAGTTACTACCAGTTAGGTTCTGCCCATTGGTGCCATATCTATCGATTTTATCTTTCGATTATGCCTATCCACCTCTTGGTGATGTGAAAACCATAGGAGAGGACGATGGCGAAAAACAGATGTCCACTGGGTAAAGCCTTGGGCACTTCATTCCCGTGTGGCATAGTTAACGTGAAGGGGTAAATAATTGGCATTTGGGAGATGCATGGCGCTCACGGAAAAAGAGGAACCCTGTAAACCAACCCATGAAGCTTCATGACTCGAATTATCCACCTTGTAGATTATTCTCCGCCGCAATTTCCCTTGCAAATTTGGCAGTGGAGGCTTGACAACGTGCGTAAGATGTGATAAATCGAAACTGCAGTGAATTCTAAGTCCTCTCATCTTGAAACCTCGGCATTTCTGTTGTTCTTGAAATTGTTATTTTTGCTTCTGCCTCGAGATTGGTAGGTGGAATTTTTATTCTGAACAACGTTTTTACGGATTAATCGTTTTCAAGAACCTGAAAATGGTTCAAAGCTTGTTGATTGCACACTACCCCACCAAGCGCTTCTTCCGCTCTAGCAAGCATTTCTGACGTTCTATCAGGAATGCACTAAAAATGCCCAAAATTCAAGAGATAAGCTCACCTCACTTCCACCGCGAAGTGTAGCGCTACGCTACATGGTTAGTACATTAGTAGCGAATGATCTCACTGATTTCCAGGCCTTTGAAAATGACGAGTCCGTCGAAACGTTGGCCAGAATAAAAATTTCCACCTACCAATCTCGAGGCAGAAGCAAAATTAACAACTCTTAGAGTAAGGCCAACTGGTGGCAAGCGGTGATATCGAAGAGTATAGTGGGATATCAAGAAGTGGGGCACCAAGTTCTTCCAGTTCTTCTCGTACAGCCCTTGTTGAAGTTGTGAGGGTCTAAGGGTTCCTGAGTGCTCCGTTTAATTTTCGTCACTGGCGTGCACCTATTTTCGCTTTTAACCCCCGATGAAAGTGTCGTACCCTCGGCTTCCAAGTCTATCTTACGTGTGATTACCATTTTGAAGCGCTGCGGTCTTCCACTTAATTTACGCTCCGTGGATTTACTAACTTCTTCAAGTTATCCGTACTGACTTTGGCTTATTCAAAATTGATTAAAGGTAAGGTACAAATAAAAGCCTGGGTAAGTCTCGACTCTTTCCTTGGAATGAATTCTACAGAGAAATTTCTGGCAGTCGAGCAAAAGTTTACTTTTGCAGGTTGTGGATGTAGTGCCAAAATCAGAGTACTCTCAGCGGATCCCGTTGATCCCCAGATTGGATCGGACGGTCAGTCAATCAATTTTTTTTTATTTTGTTTACTTATTACATATGGTTTGATAAATTCGGAGAATTATTCAGGCTGGAGAAAGTGTCACGAAACGTGTGGAGGCGACAAGAGTGCCACGCAACAAACTGTTGGCCAACTCAAATCTCAGCGGTAGGCCATTTTGTGATTTATGAGCGAGTTCCACACCNACTTAATACTGCAGTTCTCAGAGTAAGGCCAACTGGAGGGAAGTGGTGATATCAAAGAGTATAGTAGGATATCAAGAAGTGGGGCACCAAGTTCTTCCAGTTCT